TTAACTAACCTAGAACAAGGCACAGCTTAACTTAAAATGACTTAATGTTAAGAAGAAAGTACTGTAGCGACATCTAGTTTGATTTTGGGAACTAATGTTTGTTTTATATACTTCCTCATTCTAATATATTAACTCTTTAATTTACACTTACTAAATTGATTTTATCCCTTGACACATCCATTATGGTCAAAGAGTAAATGTTTTTGTTACATAACTCTTATGTCCAGTGCTAGGCGCCGCACAATGCATGTCCTAATTTTAAGCGTTTCGTCGTTAGATGACTTATTATTGGTAAAATACATTTTCAACTTAGACAATGCCAATGTGAAACACATTTTCAATTATATTTAGGGGTCAGATTTGGGCGACTCCTAAGTATAGTGGAAACTGGTATAAGCTGGTAACACTGTTGCCAAATCTATAATCATCATTATTTTTTTATTCATTCGTCGTTATTATAGTAAAATGAAACGAAATCCAAAATGTGGTATCCTATGGCTAGAATTTGGCTAGCAAGTCAGACAGCCGCTCTCCTAACATCATGAATTTTAATTTCGCTAAACATAGAATTAACAATATACCTATATTGTGATATTCATTGGGATCGTAGATAGATAGATAGATAAAAAGTTTATTACACAGCAACACACAATTACATCACACAAAAGAAACAAAGAGGAACAAGAAACAGAAATATACCTGTGTTAAGAAAAGGGTCTAGGCTCGGTGCACTAAAATCATAATAAAATCGGTGCTTCATCAGGAAGCACCGATTTTCAGCCATCACCTTGAATGAGATGAGCGGGGACAAAATATTTTTTTAAATATAATCGAATGAATAGTAGTAGATATAATGTCAAAAATAATATAAATAGAAATAAAAATGGTACATAAAAAAAATCGTGAATTAAGAAAATTAAAAAAATAATAAAAATTAAATAAAAAGGCATGTCAAGTATAATTCATGATAAATGATAGTATAGTGTTAGAAGTCAGATATATATTGATAAGAATGTCAAGATAGAAAGAAGACATCTTTCTCGTAGAAGACATCTTTTGATTTGTAATCAAATTGTATAATAATTTATTTAGCAGATAAGTTTAATGTCAAATAAATATTTTTCTCTTTTATCCCTTGACATGTTTATGATCTGCCATATCAGCAAATGCCTAGCGCAAGGCGCCGCATAACTAATATCATCACTTTACACATTACTTAAATTCTTTAGGTGGTTCCTAATCAATGGGGAAATGGATTTTGACTTTAGGCTATTCCTAAATAGCTCGGTGGCGTAGTGGATAAGCGCCGCGGCCCGCGATCGTAGTCGTTAAGCATGTTCGCAAGGGTCGGTCTCGGGATGAGTGACCAAAAAAAAATTTTATCTCGAGCTACTCCGTGCTTCGGAAGGCACGTTAAGCCGTTGGTCCCGGCTGCATTTGCAGTCGTTAATACCCTCCAATCCGCATTGGGCCAGCGTGGAGGGTCATGGCCCATCCTCCTTAACCGTCCATAAGGAAGGCCTGAGCCGCTGCAGTGGGGACGTAAAAGGGTTGGTGATGGTGATGATTCCTAAATATTAAGGCGGTAGATTTGGGCGACTCTTAAGTTAAGTGGAAACGGGCATGAGTCTCGTGACTTGTATCACTCCTTACTCCCACAAATGATAGAGATTAAAGTTACTTTAGGTTTTATTAAAAATAACTTTTTGGTAGTTTATTTAAATGTTAAGACTTTTTTTTAATCAAAACGAAACTCACACGAAATGTAGAGAACTAAATGTTTTTTTTTTTCTTTTGTTTAGAAACGGTACTATTTGGAATTATACTTTTATATCATTTTGTGTTTCTATTTCTCAAAAGTCATTTATCTGTCTGTGTGAATGACGGTAACCAAAACTGAAATCGTCAAAATAGTAAATCTATTGTGGACGATATATACATTTTTACCAAATAAATTCCTTGATTAAGCACTTGAGTTAAACGGTTAATATATATTTTTCTTTTTTAAATAAAATACCTGCATTCAGGAATTTGCTATTTCTCGTACTACGGTATGAAGAGTGAAGTCCTGTGCGATGACAAAAACCAATTTAAACCAAGGGTATTGTGTACAAGCAAGCTGTAAGACCGGCTTAATGATTCCCAGTGTTGGGCAATAAGAATGAATGATGAATCATCATCATTATCGCCATCATCAGCCCTTTTATATCCCCACTGCAGGGGCTCAGGCCTTCCCTATGGATGGTTAAGCAGGATCTGCGATAACCCTCGACGCTAGCCCAATGCGGATTGTAGGGTATTAAAGACTACAAATGCAGCCGGGACCTCCATTTTTTTAATCACCCATGTGACCGACCTTTACGAAAGTTGTTTAGCAATAAAGTCCGCGGTCCGCGACGCTTATCCACTGCACCATTAAGTTACTCGTTCAAAATAAAGTATTTGATCCTGAAATGAAAATCCTGGGGGCGTCACAGATTAGATAAAATCAGGTACGAATATATACCTACGCGAATATAGTTCGCCTCAAGTCGCAGAAGTTGAGGAAATGTAAGAAAGTCTTCTGAAATTTTTAACTGTTTAACTATCATGTTTATGAGGTTTATGGTCCTTGAGCTCATCCGTGCTTAGGAAGGTTCACTGCATTTACAGTCGTTAACACCCGAAAACCCGCACTACGCCAGCCTGGTGGGTCATAGCCTATTCTCCCTGTTCTATTCGTTTCCATTCATGGGGAAGACCTCTGCATCAGCAGGGGAAATTAGAATAGAGGCCCTGGTTCACTGCTGCATCCTATACTTCAGGACAAAGACAGTCGCTATCAGAGAAGTAAACTGTTTTAACGTCTCCGACAACCAGTCACTACACCATGTTTCCAACACTATACACCAACTTATCACTCTTTCGGAATTTGAAAATGAATGTTCAATGATGAAGGCAGTCTCAACCATTTTGAAAGTTTTTATGAATTTTGCATCCATTACTTCATACATATAACAACATCATTACCTATATAAATGTCATTACTTATGATAAAGACCTGGTAAGTTTCTTCCGCTTATTCTTCTTATCAGCTAAAAGTCGTGCTAGTAATAAGTTTACTTGAATAAATATATTTTCATTTCATTTCACTTCATTAAATGTTGTGACAGGTACATACACATTTACATTATATCGATAACAAATTCGCCAAACGTTTTTAAAAACAAAATAATAAGAGGCACAGAAAACAATGCGAGAGCTTTTTTTATTTGTTTAGGTATCTACAAATGTTATTTATTTCCGTTATAGGAGAGCAAAGGGAAACAAATTGATCTTCAACAATCATTCAATAAATTCCTGTTACAATTTGCCAATTGCGTCCTTGGGGACGTTCATTGGACACAAACAAAGATTGAGATCAAAGTTCAACATTTAGAGAGGAACAACATTGTGACGCTTTGTTTGTGTCGATAAATGCGTATTTTTTACAGGAAGTAATTTTATTTAATATGTTTCTTCTTTATATTTACCTATTTGATGGGGTTCAATTAAATTTTATTAGTACTTTTCTTCTTTATTTGAATACATATTTTTATATTGAAAAAAAAAAATGCATGTTAAATTTACCCAATGGTCATGCAAGTTTATTGATTCTTTAAATTACCATTGTAGTTTTTAAAAATGAATATTTAGTTTAAATGAAATAATTTAAGTTTATTTTAAAACAATTTAAATTTTTCCTTTACTGTGAAAATAACAAAAATATTCAGTTTAATTGACAACCTCCTCTCTTTTTAAGTCGTTTTTTAAACGAACTTCTAAAGAGTCTAGATATTCTGTAGCATAATAGCACTTATTCTGTTTCAGATTTTTAGATAAAAACCAGCATCATCATGAGCGTATTAAATTGCTGCATCACAAGTCATTCCTATGAATTGAATCATATAGTGGAAATTAGTCATCAACCACCACGTGGGGCCAGTATGGATTGGTGGGTGTTACGTGTGCAGATACAATTGGGACAAAAAAATTAACCTGCTTTTCTAAATACAGAGGAGCTCAGAATTCAATTTTTTTTGTAACTAATATTGGCCCTCGGGGAAGAGTTACTCTTAGACATAAGTTTAAATGTTAATTACAGAATTTATCAATTTTAATAAAAAATGTCTAAAAAATCCAATTTGTGTCTGATAAAGTGATTTTTAGGTATTTTTAATTGAGAATATTTTTTATGCATTGTGAATGTGAAATTGATCAAATATAGAATTAACAATACTTCTTTATTTAATTTGTTAAAAAATTAAATTTCTAAAACCGATTTTAAACTTTTATACGTTGGAAGTAAAGTTTAAAATTGATTACTGAAATTTGACTTGTTATAGTAACCAGACTGTAATTACATTCATTAGCGCAAAGCACTCCACTGCACAACTAATGTAATTACTAATTATATTAAGAATCATTAACAAATTTTATTATTAAGAACAGTCTAATAGTTTTCTAGATACCAAGAAGTCGTTACATTTTATATACATACAGTCTTGTATCCAAATGACAATGACAACAATGCCAGTGATAAAATAAAAGAATGTCATATAAAATTCACAAATCTGCGAGTTTGAATGCACACGTTATTGTAATAACATAAAATACGACTCTTCTCGACAGAAAACAATTAATCATCATTATTGTTATGTTACATAATTTAAAGTATTTTATGATTATCTATTAAATAACCATAAAAAGTTTTTTCCCTTCTTTGAAAGGCTAATAAATTTTATTTTATCGATAGCGGCCTTGCAAAATAATTCGCATCTCTAAAGTATCGCGTTGATAGCATACAAGCTGGTTGCTTAAATTAATGCATTATCTTGTAGAGCGCGCCCGCAACTACACATTTAGAGTGTCGTCAAAAAAAAATAATTTATCATAATCGTAATGTAATATGACCGTGACTGGGTGACAGTGACAGTGTTTTTTTTTTTAATTATACTGTTAAAAAACATCGAAGAACTGTTATGAAAATGGCGAAATCGACAATTCTTTTGCGGCAATCATTGTAAGTATTTATTACATTTGATTTTTGACTTAAGTTATTGAAAATAATGATATGTGAAAACTCTTATGTTAATTACTTTGTGAGGTAAGATATCATATTGATAATTTTACTTTTTGTCAAAGTTTTTTTTTTCAATTTTAAAGTACACCCAGTGGTTTTAACGTATTATTATAAATGTCATAAGTTAAACAATTTAATAATTATAATACACACTATATCTTTAAATTACCAAAAAAATATAAACATATATTATTTATAGACAATTACGTTTAATTTACAACAATAAATAATAATTAATTGTCTCTCTTACAATATCTCAAACAAGCCACAAAGATGTTCTTGTAATATAAAGCTTTACATTGTCGAACTTTTTTGGTAATTAAATAGTGCTATAAAGACAATTACGATATATTACATCCGTACCAGGCGTGAATAGGTTGATAAGTCGACTTACATATATATTTTTTTAATGTATAATATGCATTAGGATTGTTTTATTTATAGGGTGAACAAATGACTAAGTCGATAGATCTGTTTTACCGCACACAGCAAACATGTGAATTTTTAAATAACTCTCTTACTAAAGGGTACAATGTGACATCTTGAGATATTAAAACATACAAATTATAATTATTTATACAACTCAACATGTCATTATAATACTGCCAACTATTAACGAACAACACGAGATATTGATTTATTCCAACAACCTTCTTAACGTTTTAATAGAATAAATCAAGTTGTTCAGTTATTACCGCATCAAGATGCGTGTGTATTTTGTGACAAATGAAAGCAGACCAATTTGTAAAGATTGTTTTTGCAAAACTTTTGGGGAAACAAAAGATTTCATTAACATTGTAATGGATAAAAAGAAGCACTCTGCAACCGGAATCATTCCAACTGATACAAGAGGACATCAGCCATCTAAAAATAAAAGGACTGTTGATAATTTAAATCTGCTAAAGATCACAGCTTATCATTCCCAAACTACGAAAGTCATTATTGCAGAAATAGAACAAATAAAAAATATTTATCATCAGACCTTTCTATAGCTGCTATGTATCGTTTATATAAAGAAAGTTGCCCAAATCCTATTTCACTTAAATTGTATTCCCAGTGTTTTCACGATTTAAACTTATCATTCAAAAAACCGGCTAAAGATACTTGCCACACATGCGATTTTTTGAATACAAAGATAGCGTTAACAGAAGGAGAGGAAAAGACCAACTTTATAGTGGAGCTGAGAGAGCATCAATCACAAGCCGAAAACGCTTATGCAGAAAAAAGAAAGGATAAAGATGAAGCAAAGCGCAGTTCAAATTTTCGAGCATATGCATTTGATCTTCAGCAATGCTTACCTACGCCATTACTGAAAACGTCTGTCTCTTTTTATAAGAGACAACTATGGTCTTACAATCTTACGATTCATAACTTAAGAGATGATAAAGCTACTTGTTACATGTGGGACGAAACCATCGGTGCTCGAGGAGCGAATCAAATTGCTTCATGTTTGTGGCATTTTTACAAAATTTGCCACGTGAAGTTACAGAGGTCACATTTTATTCTGACACGTGTGGTGGCCAGAATAAAAATAATGCTGTTGCAATGATGTTCATGTATTTATTGCATGTGCATCCAACCTTGGAGACAATCAATCATAAGTTTTTGATTAGCGGACATAGCCACATGGAATGTGACTCGGATCATGCCCTAATTGAAAGGACTAAAAAGAAAACGCAGCTTAAAATAAACCATCTTAACGATTGGATGCAACTGATAAGATCTTGCAAGATTAATAACGCATTTGCCATTGTACCCATGAAACTAGACAATTTTCTCAATTTTGCAGAATTGAAATCGAAGAAAGGTCCATTTACTATTAAAAAAAAGGATGCTTGTGGTGAAAAATTTTTATGGCAAACCGTGAAATGGCTGCAGTATAAGAAGCCTATCGGAGAAATACGTTTTAAGACAAGTTTTGACAATGAAAGCCCTTTCAGAGTCATAAATTACAGGAAAAGAGGTAAATACAATTTAGACACTATACAATTAGATGTTGTTTCAAAAGAGACTTTACCAATAAGTAAAGAAAATAGGAAGGATTTGATGGATTTATTGCCACTTATAGATCCTATTTTTCACGAATTTTATAAAAACATAAAAACTGACGGTGACGTATCCAACATCGATCCTGATTTAGACTTTGAAGACCCTGATGCAGAAGGAGAGGGAGACGAATTCAACTAATTCGATAACTTTGTTTTTGAAATAAAAATAATTATTTTGCAATTATTAGTTTTTTTACTATCTATACATACCTACTTACATAATATCACTATTTCAGTCCCATAAGAGGCAGGCAGAGATTATACGTCTTATTACTTTTATTTTTTTACATACGTACTTACAGTAGGTACTTAGGTGAATAACTTGATAACTCATTGGTGAACAACTTGATATGTAATTTTTTTATTATAAATAGGGTATATTCATTAAATAATCATAAGTTATCTGAAAACTCAAAGCAAATGAATTACATTGAGATAAAAAAATATTTAATAACATAAAATCTGAATTTACAGAAAAAAATTAAAATTAGAAATGGCTGCCCTGAAAAATGTGCATTTTCGACTTATTAAGTTATTCACGCCTGGTACGGACATATACTTTTATATTGATACATTCATTGCTTGTTTGTTGTGCATGCGATGAAAACTATATACTAACACAAGCTGCATTATTTATTGTACAATTTAAAAACGTCGCGTTATCTGCAGACAATATTTTTAACCTTGAACTTACTACCTGGACGTATCAACTTCGCATATTATTATCCCATCCACATTCCTACTGCGCATATACAATCATACAAACCATTATATAACAGTAAAGCTAAAATAAAAACAACCTTCCGCCCTTTGTTTTAAGATATAGGAATCATTTTTAGACCTTGACCAAAAGGGGCGAATAAAGACGCGATTTTAAGTTCAATGCTGCAAATGTTTTAAGTATATCTAACGCTTAACTGTTAAGTATATGTAACGTCTTAACGTGCCTTCCAATGTAAGAAGTAGCTCGTGATAACAATATTTTGGTTACCCATTACGTGACTGACCCTTGCAATAGTTTTTTAACAACGGTCGCGGGCCGCGGTGGTAATCTACTACTACAACGAGCTACACACACACTTATATTTGCGATTCTGTAATAAATACAACCTCGAACTCGATCACAGAGCTGTCACAGCATATAGAATCAAAGGGTTAAAACTTTTAGAATTTATCTATCGAAATAAAATTAAGAGAAAATAAATAATAATCCAAAATCAGATTAAAAACTGTCAGGCTCACTCTTACTTAATTTAATTGCTTTAGCGCCCATTCCAATGCACATTGCGCAAACGCAGAAAAGCGAGACCCACAGTCTGATCTCGTAATTGATATTGAATAAATGTGTTTGATCGATCACACCACAGATTCACAAACTGTCTACCTAATTTTCTTATTACACTGGACTATTAGTACCCGTGACAAAGTAGGCATGCAGATTATTTCAAAACGCCAACAAGTCTAGTGAAACATGATATCTACAATTAATATTAATCATCATCAACAGCCGCCCTATTATGCAGTATCTAAATAAATGACGGTACTAGACACCCGAGACGATATAGAAAAAAATATTTTCTACATTAACTCGACCGGGACCTCAAAGATTGACCACCTTGAAACCGACATGCGAATTTAATTTCCCCTCTATTCCCTGAGAGAAAGCGATTTGAATTTAAATTCCGTACCTGGCCGCTAATGCACAGTAATTATACCATCGCTCTAAGTTATTCAATACTCGTAATAACCAAGAAAACAATGAACATAAACAATTTCGGACTTTGTACCCGCAGCATCCAATGATCTACTAAATAATTAATTCATGAGTTACAACTAGGCGTTATATTACACCGTACCAGGGCCGTATCTAAGGATGTTCAAGTGGTGGCGCTTGCTCCTGGCGCCAAAATCATCATAATATAGTTGAAAAAGTAATAGATTTTAAAATGTGTTGTTGTTGTACCAAGGCCCTGGAGTAGCAAGTAAGGGCGTTCGATCTGCGATGCGGAAGTCAAGCTATTTTCGCAAGGGCCCGCCATGGGATGGGTCACCAAAAATCCTCGCTATCAGATTCGATTTTATCTATAGGGTAGGCCTGTCTTCCAACAGTGATGATTTTCATGAGCTGATAATGAGACCATATAAATCAGCTGCATCAGAAGCCGTCAGCAACCATCGATTAGCTCTGGTCCTCTAACAGTAGACATTAATATGCTGATGATGCCTTATACAGATTGCCTAGTCGCCGACACATCACATCAACATCACCACGAAGATCCTCAACATCTCCTCAACGGATGAAGCCTGCAGTTGCGCCTGCTGCAGCTGTTTCCTTGAAGCCTTTCACTGATATACCTGGACCTATTGCTCTGCCTGTGCTGAGGCACTCTGCTCATGTATTACCTAGGATAGGTAAGCGTTAGAAAAGTTGTACTTCGTCCTCAAAAAGACGTCTGTAGGTAATCAGTGGCGTAACTACAGGGTGGCAAAATGCCACGGACCCCCAGCTGGAAGGGGCCCCCTGTCAGAGGAGACTCCTTACTCCTGACATTTATTATTGCGCAATTACTAAAAAAATAATTATATCCGATGAATTTGCCACGGGCCTCAAACGGTGTAGTTACGCCACTGAATGCAATGCTGAAATCATATAAATATTTGATTGTTTGTTTACATCGAATAAGCTCCAAAACTACTCGACCGATTTGAAAAATTGTTTTACTGATGGGAAACTACATCATACGCGTGTGACATAGGTTATAATTTACGTGAGCAAAGTCGCTGGAAAACAGGAATGTCAAAACGGAGCGTTAGTATAATATACGCTACTTTTTACCACAAAACAGCTCTTAGTTTTTCTCTATGACCGCTTATAACACCTTTTTTGTCATAAAATTACGAAAGACCCTACGTAACCGTGTGTAACAAACCATCTACTATACAGTAAGTTAGAAAACAAAAAAGAACTCCAAATCGAAAACTGGATACCCCACATTCGAGGGCCGGAATAACACGAGACGCAGTTCGAGCTCAAATTTTACGATCCGACGTAATGTCGGTTCGCGATATCCACGCTGCCGTCGCGATAAAACGGGATTGGAAACCTGACGGGATAAAAATATATTTTATGAAGCGGAAAGGACTTAAAGTTACCGCAAACTGGTTTTATGTAGTAACCTTTAGTCGTATCACAACGTGAAAATACTAACACCCCACACAATCTTTTACCTAAGCTTGGAGTCGGCTAAATATTTAGTAATCGTCTAAAGTTAAAATGCATTGCACCAATGACTAGGAACCACATTAAGCAATGTCTAAAGTTATAACATGCGTTAGGCAGCGCTAGGCATTTGCGTAATAAGACAATGCGTCAAGAGATGAAAGAAAAATGTTTATTTGGAATTAAATTAATCTGCTAAGACGATTCGTAAGATTAGGCATTTCTTTGTTAAGCTATGCCTTGTTCTAGATTAGTGTAAACGGGTATATCAAACGTCACAAGCACCCAATCGCTTATTTGGTCCTAAAAACTATATTCACATTTACAATGCATATTAGGATGGACATCATTCATCATATCCCTACTGCCAATTACATTCTTCAGACTTCTGGAGACAAGGACATTCTTAGACAAAAAAATGCTTTACTCATTTTACCAAATATTTGCTGTGAACATATTTCTAAAGTTAGAAAATGTTCTATAACTTGGCAACATACACTGACAACAAATAACTTTTTGTTATCAGATGTAAGGAAGGAAGGAAGCTGTAGGTATGCCATAATTATAGGAAGTTATATCAATCTGTTGATATAATAAATAAATCTCGCTTCATGAAATGGAAGTAATTACACATGATAATAAAACTGGTTCTTATAACCTTGCTGTATGTATAAACTTGCATTTTGATGATCTCAGATAAAAATCGTCTTGAAACAATGCTTCAATGATTCATTGGTGTTTAAGTGATTTAATTGGTGTTTTGTGCAGTGTTTAAGTGGTCTGGCAGACATGTCTGCAGACTTGCTCGCGAGCATGCCCGTCTATTGAATTCCTCGTTTTAGTGTAATCCTTTACATAAATATTATTTTACTTGGAGATGCCGAATATTTAGCTAAATGGAAACCCGTGTCTTATCAAATTTTGTTATATAAGATTTATCTTTTCTTTTATGCAGGCAATTTCCACCACTCTGTAGGCTTGGGTCTACTTGAAGGTCTTCGCGACCGGTATGGAGATTTGGTGCGACTCGCGAAGGCTTCCAGAACCAGGCCAGTTCTGTACGTGTTTGATCCAGAACTTATGCGAGAGGTGAGTGACTATTCCCAAGACTTTCACTTCTTGGAGTTCCATTTTTATTGAGGAATTTGATATAATTGAATCTGAATAAGTTTTTGGAAAGAACCGAAAAGACCAGATGTTAATATTTTGGGATCGAATTATTTTTGGACTTATGGAACTAGAAATGTTCGGTTTATAACCGCATCAGAAGAACCAGTTTCTGTTTCCAAAACATATAACATCAAACCTCTCACATCAGTGTAAAAAAAAACTTCTCTTATATAACCTCGTGTATCATGATTTATCTATTCGATTGTGTATAAGAAAATGGTAATAATATCTGTAATCAATATGCAATTAGTGCATAAAAGATCAATATCTACAAATAGCACACAACTATGACGCACAATAAATCTTCACGACTTTTATATCAAGAACTTTTCAATGGTAATATACTGTGAGTTAAAGTTTGTAGTCGACTTCACGATTTCATTTTAATATCTGGATAATAGACAACAAAAAATGTGAGGTGATTGATTAAGGACGTATACAATCTCATTGTATATGTATGCAACACGTGCTACATTGTAAATTTTACTTTTACAAAATAAATATACTAACCTTTCGCCAGCGGCTTCGCCCATGTGATCTAGTTTAAGTCCAGAAATGAGAAAATTCTATAAAAACTTTCATCCCTAATTTACCCCCTTAGGGGTCAAATTTCGTAAAATACCATCTCAGTGAGTAACCACGTCCTAAAAAAACGCGCATGCAAAATTTGAAACTCCTAAACTTTTATACGAACTTACATCCCGTAATTTACCATATACCATTACATAGGATCGTTTATTGATTACATTTTTAAAATTGAATATAATCTGTTCAGTTTCCGAGCCTATTAAATACAAAAAATCACATTCCTCTTAATAATATAAGTATAGGTAACAGTTTATTTCGCTAGCTGTAACGAGTTAGTTTCTGAACATAGAAAGTGCTTATTTATAGCAGCCGCGTACTGTTATTATAGCGTACATAAATTCGCAAATCTAATTGGTCAACCCACTTTCCAATTCACCGATAGTTTTACTTTCATTAAAACATATATAATTGATTCGTGCAGATTGTCTGAACATTGATGAAAATACGCTCTGTAGTAGCGAAAAATTCCTGTTTTTTTTGGCCGAGCCCTACGCTTCGCCCTAATCAGTAACAGGACTTTGTTTTTGCTAAATTCTCTTGCACTGCAGTTTTTTGACCTTGCTTGAAAAATTAATCAGTCCTGTTTGGTCCTGGGTAGCTCAGTGATTATAGCAGTCGCCCGGATGGCGGAAGAGTTCGAGTCTTTTGATAAATAAAATGAGAGTAGCTCGGTGGCGTAGTGGATCGCTGCGACTCGCGATAGTTGTTGTTTCGCAAGTGTCAGTCAGGGAAATGGGTGACCAAAAATTATTATCTCGTGCTACTCCGCGCTTCTAAAGGCATGTTAGGCCATTGGTCCCGGCTGCATTTACAGTCGTTAATACCTTCCAATCCGTATTGGGCCGGAAATGAGAGTCATGGCCCATCTTCCTTAACCATCTATAAGGAAGGCCTGAGCCCCTACATTGGGGACGTAAAAGGACTGATGATGATATATTACATGTTCAGCTTACACTTTAGCCAATTAATTTGGAGTTGGAGAAATTTTGTTCGTTAAAGACCTTCCGACTTAAAAGTATTTAATCTGCTTCCACCATAGAATGATTCTTTCGTTGGCTTTCAAAGATTAATAGATTCCATCTTCTCATAATGAAACAAAACACGAACGCGGTAAATCCCTTGTAAATTACGTTTATATTTTTTTTTTTATATTATTCATTTCCAAAAAAAGCAAAAATTGTAAATGTTTCAAGAGAAAAATTAATATCTTTGTAACTATTTATATTACAATATTTCACAACAAATCTAAACTATAAGTATTTGGTTATATAAATGGGTTCAAATTAAGTGATACCGATTGACGCATGAACGCTTCTTATCGCTCTCGTTTGTTATATTTTTCGCAGTTTAATAACTACCAAATTAATTTATAATAAATAGCAACAGATTTATTAAATTCAATAAAATAAATAGTATTATTTACATGTCATTCAAAAATAATTAATTAATTCAAAACTAATATTGACTGTACGTTTATAATCCAAAATATTTTATAATCCAAAATATTTTATAATCCAAAATATTTTATAATCCAAAATATTTTATAATCCAAAATATTTTATTGTTTCTATTATTTTATTGTAATCATTAATTTGTCTTTGCTCATTTTTCAATCTAATTTCATTAATTAAATTTTAATATTATACCTAAACATGCTTGTAAGTTAATTCTAAAATTAACTAATCAATAATAAACAATAATTAATAAACAATACTTAGCTTCAGAGTAAAATTACGCTAAATTGTAATTTTAGTATTAGTCCAAATTCATATTATACAGAGAATAAGTAAATCTATTAACTTCTAGGAGTAAATATTACTGCCGTGGTACCTCGTATTAGGTAAACCTTTGCTAAATATGATTTGAGATTAATACTAAGTGCAGTCTCAGTATTCACTCCAATGTTAAACTTCGTTTATTAATAACACTGTATATATTTTGTAAATTGCGTGTGATGCTATATGGGTTGTCGTTATTTTATTTTGCTTTATTTATTTAATTAAGGCACCCGCTAAAAATCAACGTTTGCATATTGCACGGAGATCTTTTTAGAACCTAATTTTAATGATATTAATGTTATTTCTAATTTGGTGCTAAATAAATATTTTTTATATTCAAGTTGTTCTATAATAAACATTGTATTTTTAAACCTTTATCACTTACAGATGTAACTCTAATCGGCAACAATTGCACAGTTGCATCTGTTACATATTCAGACACCTTATAATAAGCTTTACACAGGTGATACGCCTTATAATAATCCGTTATAGGGGACATAGTACAGCGGGTTGCTTGTTTAATGCTTGATACGTTCCTAGCATATTCATAATGTGTCTTACAAAGTTTCTAAAATTTTCTTTTATTATCACTACTAATTTCTAGGAAGTTCTTAAGATTAATTGTGTATATTTAAATTTACTTATCGGCGTTTAAACTTAATGATCATATATTATTAGATAAACCAGGCTTGATAGAGCCATTATCATGGGAACAAAAGTATAGCCTATATTTACTAATGATAATATTTAATATTCATATCACATCGCAGGAATATAATACATTTTGCCAAGTTTTCGATAGAAATAAGACTGGCCATCTCTTAAGAAATACCTACTAGGTTTTGGGGGCGACTTTCATCTTCTATTTCAACCCTTTCGATCACTCATTTCACGACAAAAGGTTTCCGAAGATTGACTCTATCTCCATTCTATGCCTCGTAACTATTTTTCACGAACTGTTTTTTAGATTTAAAATGGAATTGTGATATTATACTGAGAAGGTTTCAACGATACCTTCTACATATAATACATATCATATAATACATATGTGGTTCGCACGCCGGTTTCAAGGTGTCGCCATCTCCGAGGTCCTGGGTTCGATTCCCGGTCGGGTCAATGTAGAAAAATGAACTTTTCTATATTGACTTGGGTCTGGGTGTTGTGGTACCTTCGTTGTCTCAGATACTCCATAATATGGGGGCTTTAACTACTCATCTTGGAATCTGAGCAATGTATGTGATGTTGTTAAATATTTATTTAAAAAAAAAGACAAAGATTTAAAATACAGTTATGGCATATTCTTAAAAAAAAATCTTAAAAAGTCCACTTTGTCCGTGGTACTCTGAGTTGGGACTCGAACGCCACGACCTTCCGGGCCACGACGAATCCGGGCGACTGCTCTAACCCCTGAGTTACCCAGGACCAATTGACAGTGGATTTAACGTGAATGGAGAGAAACGAAATTACTTTCGCATAGATATACATAGAAGTTAGGATTACGTCGAAAGTTCGATTAAAAATCAATCAAAAACATTTTGAAATTTAGTAACCTTATAAAAAATATTACACGACATCACAAACATTGCTCAGAGCCCAAGATGACTAGCTAATGCCCCGTATTATGGAGTATCTGAGATAAAAGAAAGCCCATTTTCGAAATTGACCCGACCGAGAATCCAATCCGGGCCCTCAGAGATGGCGTAACCGTGAACCATTCAGATACGAAGGTCGTCTTATATGCTGTTGCATGTAGGTATACTTTAATATAAAAATATGGTTGGATATGTCAGTTTTCACTAATAAAATAAGAATATAATTACTATAAGAAAACACCCAGTTGGATTCTTGACATGTAACATTGTATTTATCTATCAAGAAAATTTGGATTTATTTATTTGGTTATAAATAAACAGCCGGTCTGGTAGTATATTTAATGAACTATTTGTCATAAAAAACTGGACAACCACTGCCATATTAAGGCGAAACATTTAGAAGTCACTGCGCAATAGATCCTGCAAATCGAGTAATGTCGTTACGTCATACATGTCTTTAATGATTTATTTATGTTTTTGATTAGATAATTATACTAACACAATATTATATCATTATTATACACGATCTAAGCTGATTTTGATGTGCTTATTCTGTTATACTTAACTAAACATCAAACTTAAAATAATATTAATTTATACAGGGTTATGGGTAATTAAAACTTTTTAATTAAACTTTAAAGAAGACGTAAGGGAGGTCATTTACAATTATTTTCACCTCACATTATGTATCCGAAAGTGAGTCATTTTTGTGATAAATTGTATTTATTTCTTTAAAAAGTCCAAAAAAAATTATGGTCAGAATCTAATTTTGTTCAAAGTTTTGGAGAGATAACATTCCATTTCGTGATAAATAATAATAAAATCCAAACAAACTACAGAGTTTTAAATAAAAACAATTTTTTTTGTTGTTGTAAATTTGAAAATAAAAGTGCATTTAAAAATATAACTTTCGGATATACAATGTAGGGTGAAAATAATTATAAATGACCTCCCCTACGACCCCTTAAAAGGATCCGGTATAATAACCTATAACCCTGTATATATCCAATATTATTATACGATATATGTCTTCCTGACATAGCACTAATAATATTAGAATTCAGGTAGTACAGCGGTAAAATGCAAGTATTTGAGATTATATTGAGATGGTATTATTACGTAAATATTAGCAGCGTTGGCCCACTGGCGTTGCTTATAAATAAACAATCGAAAAAAGGTTTTTTTTTTCTATTTACATTACCCAGAGATTTATTAAAGATAATATTAACTGCAGACATATGAGTTAAACAGTGATCTCCGAGTTAGATAACCGATGACATAAGATGATAAAAGTCGCTTTAATTGCATACTATATATAAATAAATCGTAAGCATGGTCCGATTGCGTGTCACTTCTCAATGACCATAGTAATAATTACTTATCCTTCCTATTAATATTATAAATGAGAAAATTTCTGAGGATGGATGTATGTTTGTTTCTCTTTCACGAAAAAACTACTGGATTTTGATTAAATTTGGTATATTGATATATTTATTGATAGAAAGTAGACTATACAGCCAGTTGCACAAACGTCCATTAAGGTTTAATGACGCCTTTAAACTTTAATGACTGTCAAATTCCTATTTGTAATGTCGCTTTAATCTAATGACAATTTTAAAGGACGTTTGTGCAAAAGGCTGTGTATGTTAATACATTAAGTCTACTTTTAATCTCACTAAACAGGTACCCTAGGGACCACGCAGGCGGAGCCGTTGGCGAAAGTTAGTGATGAAAAATAATAGTAGATTGTTGTACTATAAAATATGGAAGCACATCTATCACCAATGTTGTACCTTAGTTTGTTTGAAATCAGAGTATGTAGATATATATTATTTTTGATGTCATCAAGGGATTTTGATTTTAAAGTATCTCTCTCTGTCTCTCACACACACTGTCTAAAAAACTGAATCTACAAGTTTTCTTATATACTTTATACAACCTTCTTGAGCCATCAGTAATACAGCACGTGCTGATTCTTTTTCTATGTTATTTTTTTGTTTGTTTTTTGTGATATTTCTTTTTCTATGTCATTTACTAACAAACGGGCGTAGTTCATTTTTGTTGTCATATTTTCGACGTTTTCCTGTTACACTATATGGGTATAGTTTTTATATATCTCATATTATTATTTACACTCAACCATACTCTAATTATCACCTACCATCATCAAAGTAATAATAACTCATAGAGCTATTATTAAATCCAAATCGTATCATATCAGTCACAATTAATGTCAGCTCATTGACACTTTATCTTAATGACAACACTTTTACTGTGCATTATTCATAGAGACATTAATACAATGAAATATTGATACAAAAAATACTACCATTAACTTAACTCATTTGTATTACGATACCAGTATCGTTCAGTAATCATATGTCAAATTAGTTTGCTTTCTAAACTGCTCGTTTATAATTTATATTTTGACGATACTCATTAATTTCAACCTAAACGAGTTCGTACTCAAACTTATTTATTAATTATTATTAGCAGAGTTATATGGTGATTAAAAGTTTACGATTAAAATGAAATACGATTGACACACACATTTGCAGGATGTTCACATTGAAAACCAAATAGGTTTAACACTTTAGGAGTTTGAAAGTTGAACGCCGAGATGGCGGCTAATCGAAAAGTATGGGAAAGGAATATACTTATATTGCTCCGACCCAAAATACATAATCTGGATAAAGACAAGCAAAATAACGATTCAAGCAAAGAACTTGTAAAAGTTAGAACCTATGCCATTCGGTCTATTAATCTACAATAAGAGATCTTGTATTAAAAAAAAAACCGGCAATAAAACTCAAAAACCCAATGATATTAAAATGTCTAGATACGCAATATATACCAGAAAATTGAAGCTACCAAAACTTAGACATTTGTCTATTGCAAAAACGTCTGCTTTTTATTCTTAAAGATAACCTGACAACTTTTAAACAGACCTTACTTATACCCGGTTTCTGAATCGAGAATTAATAGTTAAGCACGTCTCTAACCGTACTTAAACCATCTTAAATGTCACTTACACAGAATTTCGTTATTGATTTCAGTTTTTTTAATGATCAGTTGATAGTAGATTGATAAAACTAGGACTTTTAGTCATATAAAACGTAAAAAAAACTGAAGATATTGTGAAAAAAATAAGCTGAGATTTTGTACTTTTCTCAATTCCGAAACAAACCATTAGACAGATACAAAGAAAATGGCGAAACGAAGCATTCCTTTGTTGATTTGACTGAAATGACTTCGTTTAGCTATAAATAACAAAACAATAACGAAACATATTTTAAGAAATAATACCTTCTTCATTCACTATGCAAATAATACGCAAACAGCTTTTGTTTTTTTTATAAAACATAATAGTTTAATTACGTATTACATATAACAACAAATAGAATAATAAACTATATGAAATGAAACAGCTGTTGCATACATTTCGTACAACCAATTATTTATTATATTATAGGATACCTACATAATTTCCAAAGAAATAATTTACATTATCATTTTCAATATATGTTCACCACTAAATTTATTTAAAAATAAGGTATCATAAGTTTCACTCTTCATAATGTCACGCATAACACTATATTTCGGCTGGCTGACTATTGTCAGTCAGAACTAATCACATTTTTATTTTATTTTTCTGATCAATATGCATTATTATATCAATATGCATTTGTTACATTAATTTACATACTTCTATTAATATACTTATTTTATTATTTTTACACGACTGCCCAAAAACATTATTGGGATAAGGGTATATATGTGAGTTTTTATATTCCGCCGTAACTTTTGAACGACTTATTATTAGGAATGTGACGTCATTCCGAGTAATAATAATATATAATGGTATTATAACAACATATATTTGAAACTAACTGAAAAGGTCTTGTTTAATTTATTTCAAATATTTTGTACTTTTCACAAGTAAGATTTACTCAGTTACAAATTGCTCTCTAAAATTACTAAAATAAAAATCAATAATTGAAATATTTCTTCTTATTTTCGCGGCACCATTCAATACAAGACTTTAGAATCAAAGAGGTCCTCAACTGCAATGAGTATTTTGAACCCAATGAGTCATAAATACATTTTTTACCCAATGAGTCATTAATCAATTTTTTTTATTTCGTTTTCGGTCGTGTTTTTTTTAATTTTGATTACTAGTTTCTGCCCACAACTTCGTTAGAGTGATATTCGTTAGTATAATATCTATTTACAATGTTTTATTTTTAACCAACTTAAAAAAATAAGAATAGATTTTCAGCTTGACTTTTTAGCCTGGGAATCTCACCTTGAATAGGTGTTCCTTGTTACTAAACGCTTGCTTAGCCATCTTTGCTTTCATCATTTTTATTAGTAACACAATAATTTATCGAATACATGTAAAAAAACCGTTAAGTCGTATAATAGATACACATAAAATGGGATTTAAAAAATCGGCAAGGTGTGTTTTTTCTATTCTCAAACACATCGAAGTACAATACAAAATATTCATCAAATTGATTCGATGTAAAAAATAAATATAACTAAGATATTTATTTTGATAAGGATTTAATATCACCTATTGAAATAAATAAATAAATTACGAAGGTTTTTTAATTTTTTGAAAATTTTAGCACTTTGGTATATGCCATCGTGGGCTTTTTTAGATAATTTAAAGCTCTCCTATTTTTCTTTAGAAAGCATTCGTATATCTCTTACCGTTTAGGCAGTGTTCACAAAAATCGGCGCTTTTGGAAGTACTACTATCTCTAGGGCACCTTTTAACGGGATAAAAAGTATCCTTTGTGTTAATCCAGACCAAGAATTTCCTATATACCAAAATTAATCTAAATCCGTTCAGTAGTTTTTTGCGTGAAGAAGTAATAAACATGCAAACATTAAAACCTACAATCTTTTTTCTAGGTTGATAACGTTATATTTATATAGTGCAATTTAGTGCTCATCAAAGGCATTTATCGAACAGGGTTATTATTATCAAACAAAATGGGATGACTATGGATTTTCTGTAAGTGGACAGTGACGCGGGCAACCTTTTATTGCGGCCGATAAATAATATCGATAAAATACATTCAAAAACAAATCACTATACGACGTTTGTTGTGTGGGAGCCCTCTTAAATGTTTATTTTATTCTGGTTTACTATTTGTCGTTGAAGCGGCAATAGAAATACATTATCTGAGAAGATGTCAGCTCTTTAACTGCCGCGATTCATAATATAAGACAGAGAGACGGCAAAGTCTTAGTGCCGGACATTAAAAAGAGTATTTTAGAGTCTATTTGTGTTACAAATTACAGTCTTAATACAAAATGCCTAAAAAATCCATTAGTCCCTGGCACCCTGAGATGGGAATCGAACCCACGAGCTTTCGCAATCCAGGCGACTGCTCCAACCTCCGAACCACCCAGGACCTAACAGGACTGACGAATCTTTCAAGCACTTGTTACTTTTCACTACAGATTACAGTGTTGGCAATTCTAGACCACAAACACATCTTTCGCCGCCTCAACTTTCATTATACTTGCAATAAACATACCCATGCTAATCCATTTCCATCATATCACAAAACACGCCATTGATCGTGAAAGGTGTGTCTCCATCTTCCGTGGCTTCCACATCTTTCCATTAACACTTTCGCAGTGTATATTAGTTTTGTTATTCGCTCTTCTGGTATTCTTTGCATATATCTGAATCAATGAATAATGCAATTTTGTAACTATAAAAAAATAGTATAATATTACATTTATTTTGCAGGTGTATGACAGTGGAGTAACAGAACCGCCTAGATGGGATCGCTCGCCTCTCAATCATCACAGGAAGGGAAGGTCTGACTGTACTTTTCAAGGGTAAGAAATACATATATTTAGTGACATACCGAATTTGAAAAATTAAGCTATACTATTTTATTCAAAAACAGAATCCGAAGACGAGCGCAGCACTCAGAGACATAATGAACGGAGCTTCAATGAAATAAAACCATTGTTCCCTTAAGAAATAGGTTTTATTTGTCGAACCTTTCCAATCGAAAATTCAAATAAACTGTTTAGTTGGGTCAAGACGTTTTCTGAAACATTTAGCCAATTCTGTTGTACCACACAGTTACGTCTAAAATTCATCTATATTCATTTGTTTCTTTACAGATCTTTTTACAGTATTTGATGAATGTTAAAATCACTGTATAACTGATGTGTGATATTGATATTTTTTTCATAGATTCTCCATTTTCAAATGATAACTGATTAAAATGATTTTGGGCCCCAGATTTACCTAATGCCTGACCGCGCGGTTTTATTACGTTCATTAATAAGTTTACTTAGTAGGCATGTTGTTTCAGAGATGAAAGTAAAGCAGTTTGGGTCGCTATCAAAGCTCTACTACAGGATAGCTCACTGCTTCAACGTTACAACCAGGGGGCCAATTCTACTAATTTACAACGATCGATCATCAATAGCGTTTCTGTAACGGTTACGTTTCGATTTTTGCTGTAAATTTGCATTCCGCTAACGTAAATTATCAAACGAACGTTTACTAAACTGAAACGTAATCGGAGCCAAATCGCAGCCGAACCAAACAGCTGTCATTAGTGTTACCAGAATAAAATAAATGAAATTATTAGTTAAACGGGAGACGATTAATGATTATTCATTCCTTCATTTTTTTATCATTTCTGTACGTAATGAATCTATTATATTCTTATTCGAACGTTTTAAAATACGGACGAAACACCCGAATATTAGCTACATTAAGAAAGTGCATACCTAAGTGTTAAGCTATAAGGGAAAATACCCAAAACGCGAATTTATAATTAATATTTTTATCATTATGGGTATTTGACACTATAAAAATAAGTTTCGTACTATTATCATCATGTTAGATAATAATCTAATAAAAGTTTATTTCTTAGAATCTGTAGATTTAAACAATTATATTCATCGAAAATAGAACAGATTCTCATGTAATATATTGACAGTGTGTTTATAATGTATCAAACAACTATTTTAATTAATTAGTTTTCAGAAAATCGTCATATACCCAATTCTAACTTTTATTAAGCACTCAACTTTAAACATGCTTAATATTTAAAGCATAAATCCGATATAATTAAGTCTTTTAATTAACAAAAAAGTCAGATGAAATACTATTAATCCTGGCGTCGACTAAAGATAACGTCAAGCTTAAAGAGTTAAGTTTCAAAATTCGAATGGTGTTGGTTTATTTTATTGTTTATACCGAGTTTTAATTCGCAAAATAAATGTTATTATGTGAGATAAAGTAGCATGAAAGTGAATAATATGATTCCGTAAAATAAAACGGTACCTACATAGGTAGGTCGTGAACAGAAAAGTTTTGACTCATTTTCGATCACTAACAAACTGTAATAAGTGAGGTATGCAATCAGTCCAAGACTAGGACGAGCATTAATCCAGAGGTGTATACTTTACTTTAAACAACTCCGTTTCAAAAGAATGTACAACAAAAATAATCATTAAATTTATATATTTGTTTGTACTAAAAATTAAATGTTAAAGTTAAATGATGATTGCATATGACTTTAGTAACTTCAATCCATTTAAACAGAATTCATTAAACTTCATTGAATATCATCGGACTTCATCAAACTACATGGATAGTTCATATTGTGACTTTATGGGACTTCATTAGGTTTTCATATAACATTTCCAATTACGGGCATTGGAAATTACATAATAATAATAATATATATATATATATATATTTATTTGGGCGTCGTTGAATCAACAACCGTAGTAATCCGTAAAACTTAGGAAAAATGCAAAATTGCACCAAAATTAACTAAAAGTATATTAAAGTTTTTTTTATTCAATAAATGTTACTGCAGTTCTATTACATATAGTGAATTAATCGATTATTTTCCAATCGATGTTTGATTTTCATATTGCAACACCAATTCACTTTTTGTCAATACAAACCACAATGATACAGACAATGTTTTAATTAATCTTTCATTCATTACTTTTTCATTTTACATGTAGAAATTAATTTATTCACTTGACTTTGGCAGAATTGTGTGAAATGCGCAGATATACCATTAATAAAAGAAGAATGAAATTGAAAAATTGAATTGTAAATGACAATTTAATATGGGATATCTACTAAAACAATCCGCATATGTGTATTTTTTTGTAATATTAAACTGTAATAGAAAGTGAAACATTATACTTGAAAATATTATTTACAAAATTAATTTTATTAAATAATTCATACCATGTATTGGCTACGCACGTGAAATTGGCAGAATTATGCGAAAGCCCTTAATAAAAGAAGAAGTTTTCGATTGAAAATAAATATTCATACGTATCAATAACAAAGTGAAGAAGATAAACGATAGTCGACTCAAAGTAGACATTTAAGAGAGAATTATTGATGATGAAATGAATCCAATATCTTTCGAAATCGGGCTATACCTACATCTGTACACTGAATCAAGCAAGGCAACATAATATATACTGTGGAAAATCTATACAAGATTAAATTTCAAACAATGTTTGTTATAGAAACCCATTAGAAATGTCATTATTGACTAGATATTATAAGTAAGATCAGAGAAAATTATTAATGATTTGACATATCTTTCACATTAAGTTGTATACAAATTAAATTCTTGTAGTTGCATAGATCTGCTCGCAGCTGTCATCCATGCTGACTATGAGCAAATTAAGTATAAGTTTCAACTGATATAAAAGAACTTACACATATAAATTCCTGCAAAATTGAACAACAGCTCCTGATTCACAGGCTTATTTTTTTTGTTCTAAATTGTAACCCATCATAGCGTATGACAGTTTTCTTTGGGTTAAAATTGGTGGTTGGTTTTAACTTTGTGTCAAAAACAGTAGAATATGTATTTTTCATGTAGGTAATACTAATTAGGCTGAACATTTATCTTGCACTCAACTTAATATATGGTTACAGAAAGCCTCATGTTATTTCAAATGTTACATAAAACTGAGCTGCGGCTAAGCTCAATTTTATGTAATTTTTAAAATTAAAAATAATTCAGAATAAAATTTATAAACAGTATATTTACCTGTTTAACAATCCTTTAAACATGATGATGATATGATGTAATAATCCTTTATAATATTATAATCTCCAAATAAAAAAGTGAGTAATACTTATGTCAGAAAAAAATATTCATAATTATAATTTTTTAATTAAGATTATTATTTGATCATATTTTCTTTTTAATGTTATTGATAAAATTTACACCCCTGTCTTCATAAATTGTTATCTCTCTCTCTCCATCCCATGATTGCCTGGAAGAAATCACTTTAAGCGATAAGGCCGCCAATTGTTACATTATTTTGTTAAACTGTTTTAAATTTGTATACCTATATAACTTGTGTAATGTTAACAATAAAGAATTTTCGATTCTATTCTCTATAATGGTATTATTAATATAGTTTTGGTGAACTTCCTAAACATAAATGAGCATATGCTCACTAGTAATGCAAGTAATTCTTAAATTCACAAAACCTGCTGGTTATCTGGTAGTTAAATTGGTTTTAGCAGACGCCCAGACTGTGAGTGTTTATGGGTTTTTTAATTATTTTCCTTTAAGATAAATATTGATATAGTATTGCAAATGCAAAAGTGATCAGAAAAAATAATGATAAATTAATTAATTTGTAAACAAGGACTTTTTCAGTGCCATTTTTATTGGAATTCCACACATGCTTGTAAATACACACTTTTAAGTTTTCCTGTAAAAATACTACAATAGTTTACTTTTTTCAATACAAAATATTCAAAAATTCATGTTTTTATAATCATAGATAAGTTTACTTAAAGCCAAAAGCCCCTACAATCTAATAATGATTTTTACGATGTTCCTATTTACAATGATTGTTTATAATTATGTAAAGTTTTAACAGAAATATAATTTTTCAATTTTAATTTACATTACATGCCTCAACTAGGTGGACCTTATTTATGTTAAGAATCTACATAATATGAATTCAACATTTCAAATTGATAGAGGAATGAAAACCTATTAATTTATCTATAAAATGTAAGTTTTTAATAAAAAATAATAATTTAAGATTAATAATCAAGATATAATTTATTTTATTTTTAAAGTCTGCCAACATTTTTACATATCAATAAGCAACCACAAAATTACAGAACTATCTATAACAAATAGATAAAAAGGTGTACATAAAAAGTTTATTAAACATATGCATGCACTATCACACTTGTTTATCTAGCTCCATAGTTTTCGATTTCATTTTTTTTCTAATCATTTTACATAATTTATATCACATGGATTGCTATGTTCTCATGAGGTAGATGAGGAATCTGGTGTTTGATACCCAGATTTTGTATATTTACTTCAGACGTCAGGGTGCTCATTGAAAGTATCCTTGTATCTTTGTGAAATAAATAATATTGGATAGAAAATTTTATATGCTTGAAGTGCTAGACAGTCAAAGATTAAAATTTTTTGGTACCTTAATATAAGGTATTTTTATAAATAATTAAGGATAAAGCAAACATATCAATGGATTTACACAACTTATTATGTTCTTTACAGTCTATTGATAACTCACTCACAAACTCTTAAAATGTAGGAATTAAAAGTCACAGTGGATTGGAGTATTTAATATATTTCACGTTGTAAATACATAAAAGTCAGATGAGAGTAAAGAAGAGAGTGACATAAAAAACAATAAACAGTGTATAAAATACTAATTCAAAAAGGTATATGAAAAGATGCCAGTGTCTGATTAATATAGAAAAAGGTTTTATCTACACCTCCCCGTAATCAGGACACTTATGTACACCCTTTATATAAACACACTGTATGTACAAAAACACTATAATATCAAAAGTACCTTAACACTGATGCCCTAACCTAATTAACCTAATAACACAAAACAAATAACACTAAACTAATCCTAAATTAGTTAGGCACATATAGTGTCTCAGCTTAGGCAGTGGCTTTGTGAGAATGTTTGCTGTTTGGTGAGCTGATGGTATGAATGACACATTGACTTGTTTAGTGGATATAGACTCATAAACAAAATGATGTCTAATATCAATATGTTTTGTGCGGGCGTGATGCGTGTTGTTTTTTGTTAATTTGATGGCACTTTGATTGTCACAATTAATGGTGATGGGTGACGAAAAGCAAAAGATGTCGCTTAGTAATGAGCGAATGTAGATGGCTTTCTTACAGGCTTCACTTAGAGCCATGTACTCAGCTTCTGTTGTTGATGTTGCAACGGTTCACTGTTTACGTGATTCCCATGACACTGCTGAACCACACATTTGGAAAACATATCCTGTATAGGATCGTCTGTCCACCAGATTACCACCATGATCGGCATCAGCAAATCCGATTAGATCACCACTATTGTTATAGGTCAGTTTCCTATTTTTTATAGCCTTCAGGTACCGAAGAACACGTTTCGCAGCTCTCCAATGTACCGAGATAAAACCTCTTCTATACAAACACTACAAATATGTTTGCCGAAGTTACTTTTGTAGGGCAAAATGTTTTTAATTATCAATTCTGAAGATGGATCAAGGTATTTTATTTCACTCAGCAATTGGGGGTACCTAATTGCACCTCTTAAAATTTTAAATAATATAAATTGTTTCACATCTATCATTAAACGCTAACTATCGATCGTCAAAAAGTAGAAATTTGCAACTTTTTAGAAATCGTTAATTTTGACAGATGAAACGTTCGGATTTAGTAACATTTCAGTAGCGTTTCGATCCAACGAAGTGTCAAAATTTTAGTGGAATAAGGCCGACGAACGACTCAAGTATATGGACGTAGTTATGCAAACCAGCCACATGATGTCAGTTTTGAGAAAAATGGGTTTCTTGTTTTTAGTAATAATTGTTTGTAGAATATATTTTATTTTATTTATTTATCAAGAAATTTTGTGAATTTACAACATGTGAGTTTAATTGCAACACTTTTAGGCTTCTCTGCACATAATTCGATTTTGACAGATTTGTGGGTTGGTTCCGGTTTGCATAACTACATCTGTATAGTTCTATGTTCGATTGAGCGAGTAGAATACCGTTTACAGTTTCTGTTGATCGATAGTTAGCTAAACTAAAATAGAACCGGAACTGTATCGTTTGACGCCATTTTGACACCGAGTAGAATAGGAAAACCACTAAAAGTTGTAGTTTCGTTCGGTTTCGTTCCGTTTTCGATTCGATTTAAACAAATTTTATTTAGTAGAATTGGCCCCCAGGTCTTCGACGATATCGCCGGTGACGCAACAAGGAGGTAATTGATAAAAAATATAGGTATTTGATAAAAAATATCTACTTAACATATAAGGTAATACTACTTATTTTAACATATTTGATGAAAAATGTTTAACTAATCTTTACATTGACATAATGCAACTTATTTTAACATATTTGATGGAAAATGTCTACCTAATCTTTAAGGAAATACTCATTGACAAGTGCTATTATAATATTGAAATATGAAGTTGTTTGGTGAAAATGTCTAATGACTTGCGAAAATGACAACATGTAAATTGCTTCCATGAGTCATCATCATCACCAGCCCCTTCACGTCCCCACTGCAGGGGCTCAGGCCTTCCTTATGGATGGTTAAGGAGGGTGCTTCCATGAGTAGACGGGTTAAGTTAGGTCATTAGTACTGTGTAATATTATAATTTAAATTTAATTAAAACAATATGAGACCTTCTTTAACCTCACTATGTAAAGTAAAACGAGTAAGTGAAGATCCTCATACATATGCAAATTATTCAAGTTTTTGTTTTATTAAAATCTTACTCGATCTCATCAAAAGAAATTAACCAAGTTTATTTTCCGCATTTCAGCCTCGTTGTTGTGTATCTAAGCCCTCATATGCTTCAAACAACGAAAATATTAATATACAAGTCATATTTATGTGTATGAATCGCACAAGTGCTAGAGCATAGTTAGTACTACTTTTAGGAGTATTGAAATCAGACGAAGGATAACTTTGAATCCACTAACTAATTCATTATGCACCACACATAAAAAAGTAATAGAGTAATTTTATATTTAATACTAGCTTTCCGCCAGCGGCTTCGCCCACGTGGTCTTATATTATATATTCGGTCTTGTATTATACATAAAAACCTTCCTTTTGAATCACCATCAAAATTCGTTGTTGTTTTAAAGATTTTAGCATACAGAGAAAGCGACTTTGTTTTATACTAAGTAGTGATAAATATGTAGAACCAAAGGTTTTCATGGTCCTACTGAAAGCCGTCATCTCTGTGTTGGCTAAGACTAAGGACACTTAGCTGGGTTCTAGGGACCCCAGTCCAATCTATGTAAAGTGATTTATGAACCTTGTAAATGGTACGTAGACTGCCATTTAGTGGCATCTTGTACATTTTAAGTCTAAAATTAAAATTTTGTCATATTCTAACATAATTGAGGTCAAAGCAAATTAAATTGAATTATGAACCGATTATACCGCAAGGCACGTGAGTAGGATAATATTCATAAACCTTTATACGACTTTTACATTCTTCAGTCATCAAAAAATAGTCTTCAGCCATTTCTTTGGTACCAGAGCGATGCGATGCTCACACTGCCTATTACACTGTTAATATTAAGGTACTGTCACCTAATAAAGCCCACTGGTTTTGACCGTTAAAAGTGCTAAAAAACCTTCTGATACAGCTTCAAATTACATACTACCTATCCCACTATTAATACTAAGGTATTGTCGCCTAATAAGGCCCACTGTTTTGATCGCTAAAAGTGCTAAAACTATCTGATGTAGCTTTAAATTACATACTACCTTTCCCGCTGTTAATACTAAGTTAGTGTCGCCTAATAAGGCCCACAGTTTGCGACCGCTAAAAGTGCTAAAAACCATCTATTACAGCTTAAAATTACATTATTTTGTCCTTAATGATATGTCAGTGTGCGATTGTTATTGAGATATTTTATGTTTTTTTACAGTGGACCTTAGTAGTAGTAATAATGATTTCACCTTTAGTTTAAATTTGTCGTATGCTTATTTCAATTAAGGTTAGGAGAACTTCGCCACGCCGAGAATGCTTTGAACGAAGAGTTGGAGACAGAGGTCTATCGTTGGGCTCTGGAGACGATCGGAGTGATGATCTTCGGGATAAGGCTGGGCTGTCTGGACGGCATGGTTCATGTGCCCACTCCTAATAGCAGGTTATTTAACTAATAAGGTTTTACTATTTATGATAAAGTTTACATTTGAATTACAACAAAATATTTGGAAAAAACACCTAAAACTTACACTATTTTGAAGTTCATATCTCATTAATATTTACTAATATTTCAATTTCCTTTGTGATTATGCGATAACTTCATGCAGGAGTCCAGAAAAGACATCGTTGGAGGATGACGATGTGCCAGAACAGTGTTCGCTCTCGAAACGTGGGTTGGAAGGATTGAATCTGGCTGAGAAACTGATTAGGTGTTCCATTAAAATTACCGACAGCAACTACCTGGTGCGCAGCGAAGGTACCCTGAGGACCGACTCCCAAGTCTTCAATGATGCCTTGAAGTTAATCGATGACCATTACAGGTTAGCTTTTGGCAATCGGCTCTTAATAACGTTAAATACCTTTTATAGTTCCGCAAATTCTATAACTTTCTAATGTAATTGATATAATTGGATAGGCAACAGATTTGCCAGTAATCCATATTAAAGTGATCTCAATTATCTGAATCACAATCATCCGAACCTTCGATTATTCAAACGCTGAGTTAGTTTATCCAAACGCTCACTTATGTAAATACTCGTGCTTAATTTCTAGCTTATTTTCAACAATGAACTGTTTTTATGTAAAAATATGTTATTTTTATTTGATCTCGTCTAAAAACCCCTCACCTCATTTATTCAAACTAGTATCGGTTCCAATCAGTTCCGATAATCGAAGTTCCACTTCAACTTCTTATTTATTCGTCAATGTCTAATGTGTCTCATTAGATAAACTATAACTACGCATTTCAACAGTAAAATGATCTAACATGTCCTGATATTGCTTCATGGAGAGTTAGATCATTTTGTTACACCTGTATTTATTGAGAGGAGGGGAATAAGATGATTAACGGTTGACAGAAATGTTGATAAATACCATAAAGTCAATCACTTATTATTTTATCTCCAGATTCACGGAACATTTTCTGGGTAAAGCATTATCCGCCTTAGACTCTGGGCAAGTGATGCCTGAACAAGCATTGCTGGACCGACTTCGACCCTTGAATGGAAGAATACTGCCTTTGGCATCTGACATGCTGCTTGCTGGCACTGAACCGGTGAGTTTAAAAATAATTACGATTAGAATTGCATAATCGATAAAGTACAAGCTACCAAAAGAAATCTTTGCTAATTCTACATAGATTGGTTCTCTTTTATAATGTGCAATCTAAACAACAGCTTTGTGCCATCAGCTTTTTTATGAACATAATAATTTTAGCCTTATTCAGATAATAAATGTATGTTCCAGCTCGCTCACACTGCCCTCAGTATGTTCTTCCATCTCTCTCTACACCCTGCACAGCAGCAAAGAGCTCATGATCAAGTTATATGGGCTACCGAGTCCAAACAAGCAGGCCTGGAGAGTCCGGAACTATCTTATATATCAGCCTGTGCTAAAGAGGCACTTAGAATGCATCCAGTAACCGGTGGTGTAGTGAGAAGGAGCAAGCAGGAGTTGGAAGTTGGTGGATATGAGATTCCTGCTGGGGTATGCTATTAATTACTCCTATTTACTATAGGTATTCCTTTTATACATATAAGAAACATAGTGAAAGAACCCATCACACCCTAGGATAAATTTTATAAATGCATAATAAACTAGAACTAATTGGTATAATGTACTCCGGAATACATACAGAACAACAGAAATATTCCGTAAAAATCCTAACCCGAATTCGAATTCACTCAGACGTCCGAATACGAATTCATTTCGAAAGCGACATCCGCTTAACTTATATTAGTGTGGAAATTCTTTTGATCAAATTTTTTTGTATAAATACAAAACAAGATTGATTTATTCATACGCATCTTTGATACTCTATACAGCCCATTGCAAAACTCATTTCACTTAATCAACGAAACGCTTTCGAAGTTCGAAATTCGGTTACCTGAATGAATTCCAATTCAGGTTCGGATTTTCGGTATAATACTCATTCAACGTATGATTAGGGTTTGTAACCATTGCATCCCTTCCGCAATCATAAATATCTAGATGTGTATACATGTACTTCAATAAATTACTATTAAGAATCTTTTTGAACTTTAGTATTATCATTCTAAAATCATTACAAATTTTCAGGTTGATATAGTTTTGGCGCATGGCATTACGAGTAAATCGGAAAAAGAATGGGGCAGATCGAAAGCTTTCATCCCCGAGCGTTGGTGCCAAGAAGGTTGGGAGCCAATAAAAGCATCCAAAGCGCATCCACTGGCATCTCTACCGTTCGGAGAATCTTGTCCAGCGACCGGCATCGTAGGCAAAATGCTAGAATCTTTGGCAACTAGAGTGCTTGACAAGTACAGATTGGAATGGCACGGTCCACAACCGAAGATAACCACATCCGGCATCAATAAGTTGCAAAAGCCTTATTATTTTGTACTACAGAATGCCGCTTAAAATGACTGTGAATTACTTGTCTATAACTTAGTAGGTAACTTATCATAGACTTAGTTAAGTTTTGTTGAGGTTTAAATAAACTCTCAGTTTTAATGTTTGTTAACTCCTGTTATTAAGTAGAACGAGGAAGTGTTTTAAGAAAAAAAAAAGTATTAAAAAGCACCTTACTTGATGGCGACTCTACCAAAAGTTTATTTTGCAGGAAACGAATGGACCAAAGATAGTAATTTCCATATAAAAAAACTGAAATTTGCAAAGTTAGAAACTTAGATATCAATACAAATACGAAAAAGTGTAAATAGAATATGAGTCGTTTATTGGGTTTTGAAAATTAATTTACTTATATAAAGTACAGTAGCGACATCTAATTTGATTTCGGGAACTAATATATTTTTTTTAATACTTCTTCATTACTTCTAGTGAGTGACGTTGAGTCACTACTTCCTTATAGTATTATCAATTCCTAATACCTATATCAATATAAAATTAAGGTTTCAACTTAGTGTTTTAGTTTAGAATATGTTTTAGTATTCTATAGGTAATAAAGTGATTAATCTAAATATCGTTACTAAGTATTGTTCATAGAATTCGATTGGGTTGATTTATGTCTACACTTAACGCTATATTAAATTTTATAATTAATTGATGATTTTAAAATTTTTATTAGATTTTCTTGGCAGAATAACTAATCTCGTCGGATATCGAGTCGCGAATTCGATAGCAAAGTTTTTTGATATTAATAAATGCTTGTACAATAAAAAATTAAATAGCTTATTGCTATGGTAACGTTTTAATTCCCCATACAAACTTCTACTCCCATTTTCATCCCTTTTTAGAGTGTCAATATGAAATATAAAGTCAGCACTATGGATAATCAAGCTTTTTTCCTTGCGCGGGTTATCGCGGAAAAGTTGCGCTTTTTTCAAAATTTTATCAAAGTGCACACAAGCAGATAACACGAGTGCATTATAGTGTTGTGACTCACAATTATAATCGAGGCTTACATTCACTACTTACTTGATTGTAAGGACCACTCAATCGAGAATTGTTTAAAAAAAATTAAAAACATATAGCCTATGTGGCCTATATCCATCGCATATGACGACGCTTCCCGTCGGTGAAAGTATTTTTAAAATCTGCCCAGTAGTTTCGGAGCTTATTCAATGCAAATAAACAAACAAATCTTTCCACTTTATAATATTAACATAGAAGTCCACTCAAGGAAATTGTCTGACGTAACCCGGTTGCACAAACATCCCTTAAAACTTAATGACGAATATAAGCTGTAATAATTCATTTTTATTATATTTATTCAATTTTTTATTCCCAATGCTATACTGAAAAATATAATTACTTTAATGCACGTTTGTGCAACAGGATGTTAATAGTCTACACTACATGAAAAGAATCGAAGTTCGGTTAATTGTCCAATCAAATTAGCATAAAAATAGGAGGTGGGCGAGATAATAGGTAGGTAACTCATATATCTAAACGTTCATTTTGGTGTTCTAAATGTACTTCAACAGAAGACTTCACTATTATTTTCGTTTCTATGGAAAATTTTATGTAATCCCATTTTGGCTGCGAGAGAACATTCAAGTATATAATCAATCAGTACAAAAGAAAAATCATCATTAAATCACATAACGTATATCTTCAATATAAACTTTTTGTCAGTCCGTCGAGATATGGGTCGGATAATCTTCCCCTGACGCTTAGCGGTCCTTGCAATGACGCGCCATTTTATATTGAGTCAAAGATTAATTCTCTTCTTAGAGAACAGTTAAGGCAATAATACTTATCTCAATAGCGACTTATTCAAGAAAATGCATCTCAAGTCGAGCGGAGGTTTTATGTAGGTTATTAATTAAATGATAGATGTCCAACTTCAAAAAATGCCATTAATTCAATTGCATTTTCTTAAATAAATCGCTTTTGTGATAAGTATTATTCTTCAGCTTTTTTAATCTCGAAGTCAGTTCTATTTTTTTTATTTCATGATTTCTGGTTTTATTGACATTTTTATATAAAAAGTAACACTAAAAATACTTTTCTGAAAACCTCTTCAAAACCGTGTTAAAATGCGAACCTCCATTTGTTTAGTCGGTTAATATACGGGTTAATATAATCGCGCGCAAACATACATACATATAGGTCAAACAGAGAACCTCCTTTTTTGAAGTCGGTTAAAAATACATTCAATTGTTTGTGAACAAAGTAACGAAATCCAATATGCTATAAGTAATTAAAAATTTATTTTTAAAAACAACGTTTTTTGGACTAAATCCTTGCTACGACAAATCGAACGAGCCTCTTCATCACTAGCCCTTTTAAGTCCCCACTACAAGGGCTCGGGCCTTCCTTATGGATGGTTAAGGAAAATCTGCACCTGCTCATATTACCTTCCTCGGCATGGCTGCATTAAATAATCTGGTTAACTTAATTAGCTAATAATATAAATAACACAAAACAGGTGTAATAAAAATGTAATATTTTAACAGCTTTGTAGATAAGTAATTACTGCTAATTACAATGTGAAAAGAATTATTATCATATTAGGATCATCTTTTTTTAATAGCACCACTCGGATTTATAATGTAGTATTGATTAAATCCTTCTTTAAAAATCCAGTTTTTGTCTGTTAAAACTACTTGCGAATATATAACATGAGCAGGGATTCATTCAACGATTGATATTGTTTTACCCACAGGTTTTACCCCATTAAGAAGATAAAGAATATAACTAATTATTGTTTGTCAGTCCGTCGGGTAGATTTTTCGACAATATTAAACACGTATTATTAATTTTTCGTCCCTAATTACGGCGATACATTGGGTTGAAATGTCGCATGACATAACACCTTTGTACATTTTGCTAAATAGTTGTGACATATCCACCTCTACTTTAATGTCTATTGTCAGCCATTTCTTGTTTAATTACAACAAATAAATACGTATCTAATATTTATCTATTATCTGACTGATGGATCAAAAAGTATTTCTATTTTATCCAGCAATCATCTCTATTGCCTATTTGACTTTTACACTTAGGTAAAAAGAAAGTTTAAAATCTGATACTTTCAAAGAGCGATTCTCAATATAATACTCGTATGTGCTGGAAATATTAAGGTAGATATTAGCGAATATTTACATTACACTCTCTTCACTCTAGATCTAGAGGTATCTCAAACTTTTGGCACCACAAACCCCGGTTATGAATTCCAGATGACAGCGAACCCCTGAACGAACGATTCATGAAGAACCATTCCCCCCCTCCCAAAGAAAATATTAAAACTGCTTGTTGAAGAAAATAAAGTTTTTATTTAAGTAAAAGGTAATTATATTTTTTTTAATTTAAAAATAAAACGTTAAATATAATCAAGAAACATAAAACTATAAATTACTATTCAACTTCAAGGTGCAATATTATTGTGTGCCAGGACTTCGTGGAGTGCATGAGTTATAGGAGCGATACTGAATTCACGAAAAAATAATCAGATATTTCATACTGTTAGCCATTGTATGCATTACAATTTTATATGAATCTTAAATATATGAATGTGTATCATTAAAATACCACAATAAAGGTGTCATTTTTAATATCCTAGTCCTACCCTGAATCGGTGTCACCAGCTAGTGACGTCATTTATCTTGTTCACTCTTAATAGCATGTGATTGGCAGGGAACACCGAAACTATGACACAAATGAAAACCGCTACATCATGGACATGTTATATTTCATAGTTTATTATAAAGGCTAAAAGTGCCACGCAACAAAACATTATTACTTATTACGATTACGGAAAATGTAGATATTTACCTAATAAATTAATTAAAAATAGGTTAATACGCCATTTTATACCCTACAACTTTTTAAGGAAACGATTACTACCTACTCTGCATAGCAAACCATTCCGGTAACTATACAACATTATCTTAAAGATAGCCTAGGTACTCTCAGAAAAAAAAATCGTAATGGAAGAAGAATTCTTAAGTACTACATTGCACCTAACAAAATAAGATAATTTTATAATAAGCGAATTTTACAATTTGTTTTGTCAATAATGTTACATTTTGTTTATACAAAACTAACTGTTTTCCCGCGACTTATGATGTAGCTTCCCTTAGTGAAAGAATTTTTAAATCGGTACAGCAGTTTCGGAAACTGTTCGATGCAAACAAACACACAATCAAATCTTTTCTCTTCATGATATGAGTATAGAAGAAGCCTTAAGTAATGATGATGAACCTAAATCATAGCCGACAGTATGATATAGTTTTCTAATATTTTAATTACACCTTATTTGGACACTATGGAATAGAATAGAATAGAATAATTCTTTATTGCACAAAAACACCAATTATAGGTAACAATAATATAAAACAAATAGGACAATCGGCGGCCTTATCGCTAAGAAGCAATTTCTTCCAGGCAACCGTCACCGCTCGGAAAATTTTAATTTATATGAATAAAAAGTTGGTGATTTTGGTTGTACGTGTCCTCTCAATCTAACTACATATATCAAAGCTTACTATACCTATACGTGTAAAAAAGCGGAATGAAATTCGCGGCTTCAGTTATATTTAACGAAATCATTTAAAACAAAACTCCACTAACTAATACCGTTATACTTAAAAACTTAATATAACTACACAATTAGTTTTAAATAGTCTACAAAAAGGCCTTAAGTGTTTAACGGTAGAATTGCAGCTGGCAAACTTTTTAATGAGATTTTATAAGCTATATCGTCACAGAGCGCTTAGTGTAAGTTTTTTTGACGTTTACGTTTACCGTCCGATTTTAGTATGGAATCCGGTACAGCGCCCCTAGCGGTAACTACCAAGAACTACAAACCTCCATACAAATCCTTAACGCGCTCACTAGTGAACGCGATAGCGTAAAACTTACACTAACCATTCTGAACATAATTATTACTACGTCCGTCGTCGTCAATTCAGGTTCAAATTGCAATAAATCAAGTTCAAATAAAGAACGTGTGA